AGCAAACTAAAAAGATACTTTTACAGCCTTTATTCAGATAAGATTCATAGATAAAATATTGCTTCCTCTATACATTGGAATATTGCTATACACCAATCTATCATAACATTATGACCTTCCACACAACATTAAGTAGGTTCCCCCTTTTGCTGCCAAAACAGCCAAGACTCATTGGAGGCGTGGACTCCACTAGACCTTTGATAGTATGCTGTGGTATCTGGCACCAAGCCATCAGTAGAAGATCCCTTAAGCTTTTGCTGGCTTGCCTTCTTTCCATAGTACATCCTGGTGACATCAATTCCCCAGGAAAGAGATGCAAATGCACCCGGCCATCCACATGATGTAAATGAAAACAGTTCTGATGCTCACATGCACAGTTAAGGCTCTTTTTGTTGTGGACAAGTCAGCAAGGGTACCATGACTGGTCTGTTGCTTCGCAGCCCCATATGCAACAGACAGCGATGCACTTTGTGTTCTAACACCTTTTGACTGAAACCAGAATTAAACTTTTACAGTAATGTGAGCTACAGTAGCTCTTCTATTGTATCAGACTACACATGCCAGCCATCACTCTACATGAGCATGAACAAGCCTTGGCTGCCTATGACCTTGTCGCTGGTTTTCTTTCCATGGACCACTTTTGGTAGATGCGGACCACTGCAGACCGGGAACATCCCACAAGAACTTACGTTTTGGGGTTTTTCTAACCCAGTTGTCTAACCATTACAAGTCAGCCCTTATCAAAGTCACTGAAATCATTATGCTTGCCCATTTTTTGTGTCTTCAACACATCAACTTTAGGGACAACATGTTCATCTGCTGTCTAATATATCCCGCCCACTTTCAGATCCCATTGTAACGAGATAAACAATGACATGTTACCTGTCAGTGGTCATAATGTTATAGGTGATTGGTATGTGCACATTGAATGCTAGCAAAGCTCCAAGGGTTTCATAATAGCATCATTTCCTCACTTCTTACTGCCTTTGACAAAACAGGGAACGTGTGACTCAATCTGTAGAAGCACATTAGTCTTATAAAAAGTGATTCTCAGCGTAGCATCAAAATAAAACCTAGGTGGAAAGTGTGTGGAAGCATTTACTAACATGTCACTTATAAAAGATGATTTCCTAACCCACATATCTATCACTCTAAATGTTTACACACATGGAGACACACCTCGGGTTTAATGATGTTAGTTACACAGTCAGCCACAAGCTGAACTCTAGGTACTTTTATAGAGCATATCAAAAAGTTAACACATCCTTCACATGACAAATATAAATATACATTGAAAACTGAAAATGCAATGCAAAGCATATATTTAAAGCTGAACTCTGGCCAAAAACTATTTTTTAACATGTGCACTGTAAAACTAAATCTGTTATGAACACCTTGGACTTTCTTCCACCCCGTATAGTGCAGTGAGTGCCGACTGTCCGGGTATTGTACTCAGATCACAGTAGATCGCTTGTACTCCAGCTATTCCATTCAGTAAACGTATTGAATTTGTTTCAATCAATGCATGGCACTCTAAGACTGGAGGAGCTGGTGTGCAAACGACCCACTAGATACATGGGTCACACTTCATAAGTGTGGATTTATTTTTACTGTGCACATATCAAAAATAGTTTTTGGCTAAAGTTTAGCTTTAATTAGGGTGACCTCATAATTAAAAGACAAACTGATCTAAGGACTACCGAAAATGGATTTATGACTACGTGCATGTGTTTCATGTGTGAATTAAAGGAAGTTAGGATGCTCGTTAACCTGTGTACACCAATGCATAGTTATGCCATTTATTCTGAATGGTGGTCCAATACACATATATAGTATATAGTATAGCCATGCACTTGCCCTGGTTTTGACAAAAATAGTGCAACTATATTTTTTTCTACGTGATGAGGCTTGTTAATGTGTATGTTGATGTGCACATAAGTGAGAATGGGAGGGAATGGCTCAGGCTCTCAGCAGATTGCTGAAAGGCTGAGCCAGGTGTCGGTCCAGGGTCCTGGGTGGATCCCTTATAGTCAGGATCTTTTCAGAGCCTGGACAGACTCTGTGACATCAGAAGCCTTTTGTTGGCTGAAAACAGGTCACAAGAGTGCAGAAATAACTGCACTCCTGTGATCCATAGGAGATGTATAGCCAAAAAGCTTTGGCTTTACTTCTCCTTTAATGGTTAAACAAAAGAGTGTGCATCATTGTGGTTAGAACTTTCACCATAATTTAAACATAAAGTTAAAATCACTCAGGTGAGCGGCAGTGCGGAAAAATAATTGATAGCAAAGATATCCACGTCACCAGCTCTGATGTAGGAGCTAACCCCCCCAAAACATGTCAGTGATGAGGACCAACAGGCAGAGAAGATGTGCCATGGTCGTATCCTGGCTTGCTTAGAGTTCTAAGTGCTGTAGCCCAATTTTTACATCAACACCCACCAGCCATAGTTGGCAAATGTAATCCCTTTTTTGTGAATAATTTTGCTGTACTACCTCTGACCTGGCATTTGTCAACATTTTAACCATTCTTTTTTTAATAATAAAACCAAGGAGGGAATGATAGAGCTGTGTTGGGGTTATTGCTATCTGATTTAGTTATGGAGGTCTATGGTATTTCAATGTTGCAAAACAGTGAGAAATGATTTCCATTCAAAAGGGATTTTCCAAATGAAATGAAAACTTTTTGAATCTATGACAATATTATTCTATCTACTAAATATCATTCATATGGGATTAGGTTGTACTATTTGTTCTAGGTGATGAGCAATTGATTTCAACCCTTTAGGGGTTATGGGAACAACTTAATTCAAAAGAGCAGTGATGTGTGGTTACCAAAAACAACTAATCAGAAATCAGCCTTCATTATCCTGCCCACTCTAACATGAACACAGTTTACGCCTAACAAGCTGCCATGGAATACTGCATAGAAATGTCTTTGTACAAACCATTTCAGCCTACTTATACCTTCTCCAACAGCCCTGCTACAACTGCAAATTAGGTACACATAACATATAAATACATTTAATACAACTGAGCATTTTGTCAGCAAAACAAGAATGATTGGAACCTTATAGTATATTAGAAGCTCCCAAATGAACGAAACCATTTTCATAAATAATAGAATGGTGTTCTATCTATCTGCTGCTGAATGTGTTGCTTTTATGATATAGTGCACATTAAGTTTCATAACTCAATGGTCATCTTAATGGCCTGCGTAAGATGAAATTATTCACTTGGCAGATCTAAAAATACTTTGCGTTTCTGTAATAAAATATTAATTGCATCCGGGAGTGGTTATAATTATGGATGACACACGCTATTAGCGTTCCACAAATTGTGTCCATTACACAGTGCAGGATCTGCTGTTTGTCTTAATAACACATTTACTTTTTGGAATAAAAATATTTATAATCAATGATGTGAACTTAATTGCACATGGGAAAGAAACAGGAAGCTGGCACGCCTATGTCACCCATCATGACATTACCAGCAAATATTCCATTTCCCCCATAACAGCGGCACTGGACTGATTATTAAAAATAGTTCAACTCACAGATTTTATTTCCCTAGCATCAATATTGTTCAAATCCAACACAAGCTAGTGTAAGTTATAGTGCAAGTTATAGTAAGCAATGTGTGAAACCACTAATGTAAAGATACATTTTTACTCAATCATACAAATTTGACTTAACAGTACTATTATTATTATACAGTATTTATATAGCGCCAACAGTTTGCTCAGTGCTGTACATTACAATGGGAGACAATATATGAGACAGTACAATAACAATACAGTGCGATACACAAGGGGTTTGAGGGCCCTGCTCCTTGGAGCTTACAATCTAGGAGGGAGGGGATAGTGGTATGGGAGGAAAAGCTGTGGGGGATGGAGTGGTAGGAAGAGTGGAGGAGATCGGTAATTAGCAGGGGGCGGGGTAGGCTTCCCTGAAGAGATGGGTTTTCAGGGTGCGCCTAAAGAAGAGGAGAGTAAGTGATAGTCTGATGGATTGGGGTAGGGAGTTCCAGAGGATGGGTGATGCCCTGGAGAAGTCCTGGAGGCGGGCATGGGAGGAGGAGACCAGGGAACTAGAGAGAAGGAGGTCTTGTGAGGAGCAGAGAGTGCGTTTTGGGTGGTATTTGGATATTAGGTCGGTGATGTAGTTTGGGACAGAGTTATGTACAGCTTTGTACGTCAGTGTTAGCATTTTGAATTTGATCCGTTGGGCAATTGGAAGCCAGTGGAGGGATTGGCAGAGGGGGGAGGTACTAAAGCCTCTTTGTATTTTACAACAACGTATCAGAATTGTATCATTTTGCACAGTACAGTAATCAATTCCATCATATTTAGCTTTCAGAAAATCCTACTTTGTGAACATTACCCCCCTTCTAGGTGCCACTTTCCAAACTTCTTAACAAACTAATTTATAAAATATAATAGCTTATGTCAGGTACATTCATTTATTTGGACTACATGTCCCATCATGCTTAGTTCCAACACAAGTGCATGTCTCCTCTTTGAAATTTATTGCTGATGTGAGTAACAGATTCATGTGCCCTGTAGTCCTTCTAGGGAGCACGCACATAAGGAAAGCTCCATAAGACCCTGCAAGGGGAAGGAGCACATAAAGTTGTAAACTCTCATTTCTATTTTCACCTACAGGTAAGCTTATGATAAAGCTGATCTGTAGGTAAAATGAATATCTCCAAAATGTGCACCTTTTAGGAGATCATCTACAGAGCTGCAGCCAGTGACATCACCGGTATACCCGTGCTGTTCCTTCAGAGCTGTGTGCTGTGGTCGAAACTCCTGTGCGCGTGCGTGGGAGTGATGTCCTGGATGGCTAAGCCATTCAAGAAGCTGCAGCCCAGGAACCCGGAAAGAAGAATGGGTAGAGATGGAAGCCCTGTCAGCGGTGACAGCGTGTTGCTGGAGGGCTTTGGGTTTTTTTTTTTTTTTTTTGGGTAACCAGTCATTTGTTAACAATTTGATGCAGAAATTTACTTCTCACTGGGCTGCTGTTCTGGCCTGCTTCTAATGATATCGGAATCACCTGGATCAATAATAGCCAGTGTGCACACTCTGTAGTATTTACCGGAGTGGTGGACTCCAGTCTTTGCCAACATTGCATAGTATTCAATCTCTAATTTCCTCAGAGCAGGACAGTTGTTAGCAAGGATGACCAGTTTGGCCTTGCTCTCGCGGATTCTTTTCAAAGTCTGCTTGTAACCCAGGACATATTTGCCACTTTTCATTACAAGTTGAAGCCTTGAGTTAATAGACTCCAGGGACTTTTTCATCTTCTTGGCGGCCACCATGTTTGCTGAGCGGGAAATCCCGGACCAGAGGTGCAGCTCAAGATGGCTGGGGGCTGGAGGGCTTGGTTTTAAGGTACATTTCACATAATGTGCTAGTATACAATGCATACTAGCACATTATATTACTGTGCAGGGGGAAACTTTTCTTTTTTTTATTTGAACAAGTTTACTACCGCTTTAAGGCTCCATGCACACTAGCGTTTTTTTAAGCTCCTAGAAGCTATTATCAGCATATTTTTTCTGCTCCTAGAAGCTAAATAGTGTTATCCTATGTGTCCCTGCACACTAATTTAGGCTATTAGCATTTTTTTTACTTCAGCCTTGTTTTTGTAAACATTTTTCCAGCACACAAAAAATGCTAAATGCTCCTAAACACCGCTAAACACTACTAAAATACTCCTAACAGCTTCTAGCTTTTTTTTTTCTTCTGCATGTACTGTAAAAACTTTAATAAATCGCTAACTCTTCGAATTCCCACATGTTTGTATCGTTTTTGTTTGATGCCTACCTCTGTATTTTATATACATATGCTTATATGGATGCATGACATGTTTTATTGAATTTCAATGTAGAAATTAATATATGATTTTACATTTTGACTATAGATACAGTGTATATATAAAGTCTACACATCCCTGTTAAAATGTCAGCTTTCTGTGATGTAAAAAAAATTAGACAAAGATAAATAATTTCGTAACGTTTTCCACCTTTAATGTAACCTATAAACTGTACAACTCAGTTGAACAACAAACTGAAATCTTTTAGGTGGAGGGAAGTACAGTAAATACAAAAACTAAAATAATATGGTTGCATAAGTGTGCACACCTTTAAACTAATACTTTGTTGAAGCACCTTTTGATTTTATTACAGCACTCGGTCTTCTTGGGTATGAGTCTATCAGCATGGCACATCTCTTCCTTGCAAAAACACTCCAAATCTGTCTGATTGCATTTCCTGTGCACAGCCTTCTTCAGATCACCCCACAGATTTGTAATCGGATTCAGGTCTCTGGCTGGGACATTCCAAAACTTTCATCTTCTTCTGGTGAAGCCATTCCTTTGTTGATTTGGATGTAGGCTTTGGGTCGTTGTCATGCTGAAAGATGAAGTTCCTCTTCATGTTCAGCTTTCCAGCAGAAGTCTGTTGGTTTTGTGCCAATATTGAATGGTATTTGGAACTGTTCATAATTCCCTCTACCTTGACTAAGGCCCCAGTTCCAGCTGAAGAAACACAGCACCAAAGCATGATGCTGCCACCACCATGCTTCACTGTAGGTATGGTATTCGTTTGGTGATGTACACAGTTTTTTTTGTGCCAAACATATCTTTTGAAATTATGGCCAAAAAGATCAACCTTGGTTTCATCAGACCAGAACACATTTTCTAACATGCTTTTGGGAGACTTCAGATGTGTTTTTGCAAAATTTAGTCAGGCGTAAGAGAAGGCTTCCGTCTTGCCACTCTACCTCACAGCCCAGACATATGAAGAATACGGGAGATTGTTATCACATGTACCACACAGCCAGTACTTGCCAGATATTCTTGCAGCTCCTTTAATGTTGTTGTAGGCCTCTTGGCAGCCTCCCAGACTAGTTTTCTTCTCATCTTTTCATCAATTTTGGAGGGACATCCAGTTCTTGGTAATGTCACTGCTGTGCCACATTTTCTCCACTTGATGATGACTGTCTTCACTATGTTCCATGCTATAGCTAATGTCTTGGAAATTCTTTTGTACTCTTCTTCTGAATGATACCTTTTAACAATGAGATCCCTCTGATGCTTTGGAAGATCTCTGCGGACCATGGCTTTTGCTGTAGGATGCGACTAAGAAAATGTCAGGAAAGATCTACTAGAACAGCTGAACTTTATTTGGGGTTAATCAGAGGAACTTTAAATGATGGCAGGCGTGTACTGACTCCTATTTAACATGATTTTGAATGTGATTGCTTAATTCTGAACACAGCTACATCCCCAGGTATAAGAGGGTGTGCACACTTATGCAATCACATTATTTTAGTTTTTTATGTTTACTTCCCCCCTAAAATATTTCAGTTTGTTTTTCAATTGAGTTGTACAATTTACAGGTCACATTAAAAGGTGGAAAAAGTTCTGAAATGATTTATCTTTGTCTCATTTTTTTACATCACAGAAACCTGTCATTTTAACAGGGGTGTGTAGACTTTTTATATCCACTGTATGCTTTAAGTATGAGTTTTGTAGTCTATCCACATACTATGTACAGCAAACAAAAAACATAGCAAAACTATTTAACAGTGTTTAATGTGTAAAACCATATAATACTATGGTTACTGAGTGGAAACAAACTAGCATACTGTGAAGGCACATACTTCTGTGTACAATGTAAAACCACAAATGGCAGAGGACCACACTGAAGCTCTGGTGACTCAAAATGGTGCAGGTGCCATCATACTTCCACATGCAAGCTTTCCTTTTCAAGATAATTATAGTTACCACAATGGCAATTCCATCCCACTAACTTCCTATTGTTTTGACCGCATGATACCACAAACTTTCCTCTCTTTAGCCCAAGGCTTTTTCATTGTAGTTTCAGACTGATATACATAGACTACCAAAGAGTGTGCCAGCATGAACCCAATGGATGTGAAACCACAATGAAAACGTATTTACTACATGGCACTCCAGAGCGACAATTGTTACCTCTTTACAGTGGCAACACATTATATAACCAGTACCAGCCTCAGGTTATATGGTGTCCTGTGAAAAGATCTAGCAAGACAGCCCTGGATGATCAGAGAAGAGATTGCTTCTTTTTTTTCTCGCAGTCACTACAATTGAAGCTGAAATTAAGTGGTATTTTGCCATAGCTCCTCTCAGCCCACTTATATACATGAGATCCTCCAAAATACACAGAATTACCACTGCTGGATGTCAGGCAGAAGCCAGCAGCATGCAGTATACTTTGCATTCTGTAAGCACTGCTTTATACATTCAGAGAAAAGACATCTTCACTCACTAACATCCTGCCATCTTACAGCTTACCAACATCCCTAGAGAGCTGAGCCTGCTGAACAGAACAGGTGCTTCACATTAAAATCACGGAGAAAATACGTGAAATTCCAACTGTGATTGTCTCTCACAAGATGGTACACTCTGTAACAGGGTAATATACAGATAAAGCTGGCTATACATGAAATAAAACCTGTACATCAGTTCAGAGATGCTACTGAATACCTGATCAGGAATTGTTTAATTGTGGGAACTTGAGGAATGTAATAAAGCAACATTTAAAGGAGAAGTATAGTCAAAGCTTCTGGGGATCACAGGAGTGCAGTTCATTCTGCACTCCTGTGACCTGTTTTTCAGCCGACCGTGTACTAAAGCCCACTGAGCCACAGAGCTGGTGCCAAACTCTGAAAAGATCTCAACAATATGGATGAGATCAACCCGAAGCTTGGACTGCTTCCTGGCTCAGTCTCTCAGTGAGCCACTGAGAGCCCAAGCAAGCGGCTCCTGCCCCCTCCATAGCCCAGTAAGTGCTGGAGGTGCAGAACAGAGAGCCAGTGATCGACAGTCACCAGCTCTCTGCACATGGAACACTGAGAACTGAGCGATCAGCGGTCTTTGGTTGCTCAGTTCTCAGTTTAGGAGCTGGAAGGGGACAGATGCAGCATCAGACCAATCCTGTATACACCTAGGTGACCTGGGTGAATATATATATTTTTGTTAATTTACTCATACAGTTGTGTCCAAAATTATTCAACCCCCAATGCTGTAAAGGGGTTTAGGGACTATAGTGTACATTTGGAATTGTATTCAGAATCAAATCCTACAAGGACGTTGTAACTACCCAAATGCAACTAAAATGACATCAATTTTTATGTAATACAGTAGTAAATGGTTCTTATGTGGTTTCTTCATTGCCACAATTATTCAACCCCTTAAAGACTACCACTCTGAAGAACAGAGGTTCATACAGGTGCTTTCCATCAGGTATTGAAAACACCTGTGGATGTCACCGAGCAGCAATCAAGCATAATAAGCACCAATTAGGCAGCTTTAAAATGACTGTGATACTCAGCTCCTTCTAGACATTTACTGGTGTGGTTACAAACATGGTGAAGGCAAGAGAATGGTCCAGGAAGACAAGAGAAGAGGTGATTTCTCTTCACAGGAAGGGCAATGGCTATAAGAAGATTGCAAAGATGTTAAACATACCAAGAGACACCTTAGGAAGCATCATTCGCAAATTCAAGGCAAAGGGCACTGTTGAAACGCTACCTGGTCGTGGCAGAAAGAAGATGCTGACTTCGACTGCTGTGCGCTACCTGAAGCGTAGAGTGGAGAGAAGTCCCCGTGTGACTGCTGAGGAACTGAGAAAAGATTTGTCAGATGTGGGTACAGAAGTTTCAGCCCAGACAATAAGACGCACACTGCGTAATGAAGGCCTCCGTGCCAGAACTCCCAGGCGTACCCCCTTGCTGTCTCCAAAGAATAAGAAGAGTCGACTGCAGTATGCCAAAAGCCATGTGGACAAACCACAAAAGTTGTGGGATAGTGTTCTGTGGACTGATGAAACAAAATTAGAACTGTTTGGGCCCATGGATCAACGCTATGTTTGGAGGAGGAAGAACAAGGCCTATGATGAAAAGAACACCTTGCCTACTGTGAAGCATGGTGGAGGGTCAATCATGCTTTGGGGCTGTTTTGCTTCTGCAGGTACAGGGAAGCTTCAGCGTGTGCAAGGTACCATGAATTCTCTTCAGTACCAGGAGATATTGGATGGAAACGTGATGCAGTCCGTCACACACCTGAGGCTTGGGAGACGTTGGACCTTTCAACAGGACAATGATCCCAAGCATACCTCCAAGTCCACTAGAGCATGGTTGCAGAGGAAAGGCTGGAACATTTTGGAGTGGCCATCGCAGTCACCAGACTTAAATCCGATTGAGAACCTCTGGTGGGACTTAAAGAAAGCAGTTGCAGTGCGCAAGCCTAAGAATG